TTAGATTTTGGCTTAGCAACACTAGAATAGGATTGGGAAAGAGGTTTGTTAGAAGTATTGTTGGATTGATTAGAGTTGTTAGAATTGTTAGAATTTGGTTTGGAGTTATCAAGAATAGCAAGAATTGGAAGTTGATTAGGAACAGGATTGGTGTTAGTAGCTATAGAAAAGAAAGAATCAATAAGATTAGAAGCAGTTTGGAAGTTTTGATGAAAAGAGACAAGAGGAGGATTAGTAGTTTGAGAAGTTTCATTTAGAATATTTTGGAAGGTTTGTGTAAGATTTTTCTTGGTCTGAAATAAGCTAGCTTCATATTGTGATGAAACAGTCATATAAGCAAGATGGTAAACTTCATTATTCTTTATAACATATTTTTCATTAGGGTGGTGATGTTTATTTCTTTTGGTGCAACCAATTGGAAGAAAGCATTTAGGGCAGGTATGGTAGTGAATATCAGATATAGGAGATAGAAAGACATTGTAAGTTGAAAAAGAAAGATTAGTCATAAGTTATTGAGTTGGTCTGTTTAGATTTTTCTTTAGTTAGTATTAATGTGAACTATACTAAGTTCAATAGCTTGGATATGGTTAGTATTGATAGATGAGATGAATTTAGTATAATATTTGCCACAGAGATAAGTAATCACAGCAGTAGAAGAAGGAACTTGAAAGAAATGAGTAATTTTGTTAGATCTAAGGTTTTTAGTTAACCAAATAGTAGGTTTGACTTTAGGAGAGATTGGATGAGCATTGTTGTCATTTTCTTCTTCATAGATGGCAATTCCAAAACTGTTAGAAAAGTTTTGTTAGAAGTAGTCAAGGTTTGCTGTATCTGGCTCTTGGTTGGTTAATATAGGTATTTTTGGGATATGAATGAATAAATAGGTAATATAATAATAACTTGGAAAATTTTTCTAAGTTAAAATTATGATCAATTAGTTAATTTGCAATAGTAATGATTAGAAACAGGAGTTGTATAGTTGAGAAGTCACTGAAATAGTACAGAATGTAACTAGAATGGTTTGGATCACTGATATGACTCAGATACAGTACACGAATAAGATTTGCAGTACAAACTGTTGTGCATAATTAATAAGAGCCAAATATAGAAAAAATTGGTTTGTGTAAATGGATTTCTATTTATAGATAGGTTACAGAAAATTTATATGTAAATTAATAAAATATAGATTGGGAAATGATAATATGATTACACAAAAAACATGTAAGGAAGAAAGGGGGCAGGTAGGAACAAAAATAAAAGAAAAAAAAGTTTTACAAAAGAGTAAAAGAGAAATTTTGTTGTAATTCAGCCAATATTAAGTCAAAATTCTTCGTTTAGAGCTTGTTTTGATCAGGCAAATGTGTATTATAACTTTAATTAAGAATAAAAGATATGTTATTATAGTAGAAATTGTGAAAAAAAAATTAATTGTTAAAACTGGGGCCAAAGATCATCAGTACAGTTTTCTCAGTAAGTTTAAAAGCTAAAAGTATGATATTTGCAGAATATATGTAAATTTAGAGCTAAACAAGTTTACTTAAGACACCAGGACAGATTGTCTTAGTAAAATAAATAGTTATAAGCATTTTTTGACAAATGAATTTTTTAGTTAATTTTTGTGCAATGGATTTGCAAAAAGAGTTTATCCTTTATATGTTTCTCCTAATATAAAATTTTTAAAAATCAAATAGATTTAAAAAATATTGAAAATTGTTCTTCATGATTTGTGTAATTATTTGTACTATTTTTCAACCTTACATGAAATTAATTCAGCATAGCTAAATCTAAGGCAAAGATCCACTAAATTGGTTCCTTTTATAAATAATCTATAAAATTTTCTTTAAGATTTACTAATTAATTTCACTGTTCTTATGCGGATTATGAATTAAGTTAAAAAAAGTCTTTAACTCAAATTCTCTAATAAAATTCACATGTTTTTACTATAATTTTTAATATAAACAATATTCTAAAAAAAAAGTTCTTTGTCTGTTAATTCTTCAAAACAAGTTTAGATGCCCATTTCTTGTATTTTTGAAGTTTTTTACTTTTTTTGGTTTGAGAAGATCATATTTCGATCTAATTGCTGTTGGTCATGTGAACAAACCTGGCTTAGAATCTTCCTGTAAATTTTTCACAGTGCTTAAAAAACTTTAAATTCGTTTAAGTTAGAGTTAGCATTTAGGTTTTAAAAGGTAATAGTAAAATAACTCGAAGAATTTTTTTTGTTAGAGCGCAAAAGGCAAGTTTTTGAGAAGTAAGCGATTTTTGAAAAACGAAAGTTGTATCACAAGTCTGGACAGTAAAACTTCTGCCTGATCTGAATTTTATTGTAGGGCACCCGTTACAGGTCTTGTGAATAAAGTTCTACACTCCTCTCCGGACAATAACATTTATAACAAAAATATTGGACAATCACATGATTATTGTCTGAGATATGGCAAGCAAATTTTACTAAAATAATTACATTTGGTTAAAAAATGCACATTTTTAAAATCACTCAATTGGACGACAATCAGGTGATTATATGGTTGTGTAGCGATCTACAAATTTGACCAAAATTGCAAACCGTGATAAATAAGTTGAATATTTACAGAATGACATGAATAATGTTCATAAACATATTAATTTTTACCCCTTGCAATTTATTACTATATTTATAGTTTTGATTGATGAAAATTTCTTTTACAGATTGTTTCGCCATCAACCTGTATGGTGTACATTCAAGTGGTACCATATCACGTAAACAAGTCACCTGAATGCCTCATGTAAAGAGATTATAGTTTCAGAAATGTTTTATTACTTAAACTTGTCATAAATTTGTACCAGGTAGAGTTTTTATCATAGTTCATCTGAATAAAGGTAAGCCAAATATTTAATATACAATTACAACATCTAGGATTGTTTCTTGATGTATTGTGCCGCCTGTAACCATAAACTACTTGGGTCTCTAGCACTTTGTTCATCATAATACAATTGGTAATCTGCTTGTCTAAAGGAAAAATCCATAACTTCGTCGGGATTATTAATGCTGTATACTTCAGCGCAAGTAAATCTTAAAGTTAAATCTTGAGAAAGAGTTAATCTGGAAGCTAAATTATTGAGATTTGGGTAAAGACTTAGAGTATCTCTAATAGTATCACTGTCTCTTATTGTTCCACCAGAGCAACTCGCAAAAGAAAATTTAGTATTTGGAAATCCACCAACAGATACAGTCGGAACATTAGCTTCAGCTAATCGTTGAACCAAATTTGCGCATGATGAAAAACAAGCACCATTTGTTAGAATAACCATGTTTTCCTCAGTCCATGGAAATTTTGGCGGAACCGGAAGAATTTGAAAATCTAATGAGTCATTTCTAAATGCTTTAGTAGTAAATTTAACTTGAGCACCACCTCGCGTATATGTGTTGTTTCCAATAAATTCATCGACATTATTAAATGAATTATTTGTAATTGTTGATGTATATGATCTATAATTAAATAAATTACCAACAGCATTCGCATTTGAAATTTCGTTTATAAAGGCTGTAGATACGTCTGTAACTTTTATATCTTCTGGAAAAATATTAATGTTAGGAAATAAAAGTTTGATGATATAATCTGTAACAATGACTGTCCCACCATGATTATTACTGAAATCAAGAACGATCTACATGATATTCGTACATTCATAAATAAATGATAGCATATATATTCGTAAATAAATGATAATGTCGCATCTGAAGTAGCGACTTATTTGAAGTAGCGCCTGGCTAAAATTAAGCCCCTGAAATTAGATCTTCATGCATGCATTAGATTTTAATTTTAGCCAGGGTGCCACTTTAGATATATAAAGTGGCTACTTTAGATAAATCGCTACTTCAGATGCGACAATAATACAGTATTTTATAAATAATAAATCATTTACCTTTGTTATACCTTTATCAGCAAATAATTTAAATCCAACGACTATATCGGACAAAAAACGAACTGTCTCGTCACCATTTAAATCTGCAGTGCTTTCAGTTGACATTAAAACCACACCAAAATCTTGTAATGTATAAAATCTAGAGAAAACTGCATCAAAGATTAAAGATGCGTTTCCAACTGAAGTTTCATTAATATATGAAGATTTATATTTTGTAAATATTGGATAAAATTCAGTACTACTAGTAGCTGGAACTATCCACTCTCTAGTAATGTTAAAAATTTTATCACTACAATTAAGCGTGTAAGAAATAGTTGGAACAGTAGGTAATTTAGTTCTAAGTGAGAAATCTTGTCCATATACGATAAAATCCCTATTTCCAAATCCAAGAGATGCAAGGGCTGTATTAAAGCGGACATTTAAATCTCTTGAATAACTTAGGTTATTACGAGCGAATTCAGTAATTACATCAATCGCAGGTAAACCATCTATATGTGTAACTTGACAATCAATAGTGCTCGGATCTATTGTGTCATCAAAAACCTTAATTTGCTAAAAAAAAACGATTATTCATTGCATATGTACATACATAGGTAAGTATGTAAAGCTTTATACATTAGCACATTATTCGCTATGCAAAATTTTACCTGTGTTCCATCTGGTCTAATAACAGAATACATAGAAAATCCTTGATAAAAATAATATGAAAAATTTTTAGAAATGAACCTATGATAAGACATAAGAGTTATAAAGCTTAATTAACATCTGTATTTCTACAATTATACAAAATTATTGGATGTTGAATAATTAATAGCTTACGTAGTGTGGCCATCTCTTAATTCATCAATGAGATTTCCAATATCATACTAACATAATTAAATAATTCAAATAATTCATAATGGTAATATGTTTGAAATAAATTTATAAACCGGCTTATTTTATTTACCACAAATTCATATTCATATGAATAATCTCTATTTAAGAACAAATCTAATTCTGTTATTAAATCAATAGGCGTAAATGTATACCCTGGTTTTGGTTCATCCTTCGCTTGGTCTAAAAATGCATAGAATCCTTTTAAAAGCTCTTTTATTGTTTCTATTGTCTGATAAAATACGGTATAAAAGTTTGATTAGTAACACAATTATACCGAATATTTGCTTAAAAATTGCAACTAAATACCTGGACTGCCTTAGTTTTATTAAATGGAATTGAATCATAGCAAGCTTTCACGTCTGAGTAATTAAGATAGTCTGTTCCTGTTTCAATATAGTCAGAAATCTTTTGACACTCATTAGTAATCGTATCAGTATCACCTGGAACTCCTTGAGAATGAACACTATAAGTAAATGCAACAAACACAAATATTGTAAAGTAGATTTGTTTCATTTTATGCACATAAGATTATAGTAGTTTATTAAATCCATCAAATTTCATCTATTGTTTGCATTTTATTTAACTGCAATAGGCCACAATAAGAGCGCATCATAATGGATATAAATATCCTTTTTTTCATATTTTCGAATTTTCTACATTTTTTCTTCCCGAATCTCAGGTTTTTTTAAAAAAAATATCGTGATCTGCATAACGATAGTGCCTTTTTCCAGAAATTTGAACTGTATGTTTTTGCGGCTTGAAACTTATTAGGCCAAGTAAGTGCCATAGTTTTAAGCCAAAGTTCTAAGCCATGGCTTAGGCTAAGGCTATGATTGTGCCCGATAAACATCAAGCCGCGCTGGAGTCGGCTCTAAATTAAATATATGAACAAAAAAAATAAAAACAATAAATATACGATCAAATATGTTCACAATAAAATATGTTCACAAAAGGAAACCCGAAAAATATTTCTAGTTTTCTCTTGAAATTTCTTAGGATCATTCGATATAAATGATGTTCTATCAATGATTAATGAGGCCGCTATACTAAAAGAGATCCTTACCTAAAATATAGAGGCTGTATTTTGTGTTACCGCATTATATTGTCGGGAGAAAACACAATGTAGAACCTTGATTATGTGATTTAGCCAGAATTATCTTAATATTATTAAACAATGAAACGATTAAGAAACCAAAATATAAGACTATTTAGTCGATAACAATTTTTAACTCTTAATAATATTTAACTTTCAGTGAAACTTGACTTTCAACTTTTCGATTTTTGGACATTTCGGTAAACCAAATCCTGTCCGAAAGTACTTTTGGTAGACTATTGTTTTCGGAAAATACCGAAAGCATCAAACTTCTAAGCCATCCTTAGAACGAAGATAATTGATGCATGTTTGTGTTTGTGATCTGTACATGTTCCTGGTACGTACGTATTGTATATTATTTAAGGTGAAAAATTAATCTAAATTTTTTAACGTTTCTTAAAAAAAAAAAGTTGCTTATATGATTGCCTAAATATTAATTTTGGCTATAATTTAAGTTAAAAAAAATCTGCTATAATTATTTATTTATTCATGAAGTTATTTAAGATTAATGCATGTTTATATTATATTTGATTTTTTAATTAATAAATTTATGGATTAATCCCAAAAAGAATAGTAGTGACTTGTTTACCAACAAAAATATTTCTAGTAACCAATGCATCATAAAATACCACATCCCTTCAACTATTCTTTCAATTTTTTGGCATTTTTATATGCTATATAGTTTGATTATTTATTAGAACCTTTAAATCTTCAAAAGATCCCAATAATGGTAAAGTTATCATGGATTTCCAACACCTTTAAGTTTAGGCTTGCTAATAGTGTCAAGAGACAATAAATTTTATCAGACACTAAATATCTTTTCAATTTTAAATAGAATATGATTAAAAAATAAATTAGTATAGAATTATACAACCGTTAGTACAACGCAATCAGTTCGAATGCCAGAAATACAGGTGTAAATTTCTGGGATTAATTCCTGAGAATTAATCAATACAAGATCCGAAGCCACACAATAAACCAGATTGAATTTTTTTCAAAACTTTAGAAAACTTCTCATGCAAATGTCTCTCCTTTGCATACTCTAAAACTATAATATAATTTTTTAAAATCGTATCCCTTGATACTCCAGAATACTTTAAAATGATAGATTTTCATATCCATTGCCACAATTACTGATGATCTATCGGGTCAAAATTGCAATTTTTTTAAAAAAGTTTATTAAAATTTTAAAATTCAAAATATAAAATCAGTACTGAACTTTAAGTTGATTTTTATTAAAGATAAAAAATATCAATACATATTTACACATCTGAAATGTGTGATAGGTCTTTGGCGCAACTATAGCGCATATTTCAAGATGTAACGCAACACGATCAGGAAAATTCAAACAAACGTTCGCTTTGTTAAAAATCACTTATTACTCGAAAACTGCATAATAAACTAGCTTTAATGCTCTAACAAAAAGTTTCATCGAACGAGATTTACCAAACAACTACCTAACCTCTAACCTTATTCTGAAAACTAACCCTGACATTAACGAGCTTTAAAGGATTTCTGCTGTGCCACAAACCTAACACATTTTATTTTATATATATAGAAAAATTTAAAAGTAGGTTATGATCAGTATAAGACATGTTTGAAAATTATCAAACTTGTATGAAATATATTATGTTAAAAACAAGAAATAAAATAGTTAAAAGATTGTTATTGTAAAAATGACACAACTTTTGTAATAAGCAATGCACGTTGTGAACGTAAAACGGCGAGTCGATCGCTAATCGGTCGGATTTCTCGTGTAATCACTTGGGAGGGTTACTTCGGATCGAAAGAGGCGTGTTAGATTTGTCGAGTGGTTTACTTGGTAATGGTCGGGTTCTACCGATAAAGGATGTTTCGGGTAGGTGTGGGTTAAATGTACTGTACTAGCATACTTTACAGAGTCACAGGTTACGTGCGACGATTATATTTAATAAAGTTATCTGTTTATTATTATCGGCAAGCAGTTTTATTATGAGTGGTTATGAATTGTATGGGTTATGTATTGGTTGCAAAGGGGAAATTATTCTTTCCAAAGGGCCTTTCGGCCTTTATTTATAATTAAAAATCTCTATTTAAATTATGCGAGGGATAGGACTGATATCTCTGATTCTAACTGATCGCGATATCCGTCACATTCGTTACATGCATCACATGCAACTGATCAGTTGCATACGATGAATGCGAAAAATGCGATCAACTCCCTTTTCCGAATTAAGCGATGGACCCCCAAACGGCTAGGGTCCCATAACGTGCTAAAAAATTCTTAATATTGTAATATAAAAACTTGTACTAAAGATAATTTTTAAAGCTTGTAAATTAAAACTTTGAGCATATTGTAGTAAGTTGTATGGGCTCTTCAGTGTCTTATAAATACAAAAAAAACAGTAAAAAAAGATGAATATACGAATACTTGAACTAAATAATAAGTTAAATAATAGCACATGGGATGGGACTCAAAAAATTATTAAGTTAAATTAGTTAAATTATGACAAAATACTAAGATATCTTATTTTGAAGATATAGATACATGAAGCACAGTTCTAGTAAAAGGTCCTATAACTGAATAGTAAGGTTATCTGAGATTGAATACTGGTAAATATAAATATTATTATATAATGATTAGTGTTACAGCCTAAACCCTTTACCAAAGTCTGAAATGTTTCAGATTTTGAGTTTCAGTTTTGTTCAAAATCTGAAACTGGATGAAACTGGGTGAAACTTGATCTTATCTCTTTCAAAATCAATATATCACATGATGCAGACTTCAATATGATTATTTTTAAAAGTTACATGACTATTGCACTAAAATTGACTAATAGAATTTCTAAAAATTCTATTGATCAATTTTAAGTACAACAGTCATGTAACTTTTAAAAATTAATATTGGAAAGTCATGAACATGTACAAGTCACATAACTCTAATTTAAATAAATGTTATAAATATGTATCAATTATCAATTTTAGTTTAAGGCAGTGTTATATATTTTTTATTGTTCAAATATTTTTTGACTATATTCAATATCCAAATATCCAAGTATTCAAAAATGTTCAAAACATGTCCAAGATATATTCAAGCTCTAATAATTAATAAATTTATTTAAAAAATATATAATTATATATTTTTTTTAGGTTTTGAATATTTTTTGCTTAGAAAAATATATAGATTATCTTAACAAAATTGTAAGTAATTTTAATTTATATTTTTGTTCAAAAATGTTCAAAGTTATATTTATAGTTTTTTATTAACAATACTGATTTAGGTATATATAATTTTATATAACTTATAAGTGTCTATAGGTTTTTTTAATTGTTATATTAAAGTTTGCATTATGTGATATTTTGATAAAGATAAAGATAAAATTAAGGTTTGTTTAGTTTTATTCAGTTTTATTCAGTTTCAAATGTTTTAGATATTTTACTTAATTTTAAATATTTTACCTAGTTTTAGATATTTTATTCAGTTTTGAATGTTTTGTTTAGTTTCAGATATTTTATTCAGTATTTAACTTTGCATCTTGGATAAAATTAGAATTAAAAGATTTTAGAAATTTTATCTAGTTAAAACTTTTAGTTTAAGTTTTAATACTAATAATAATATATAAATATTTCTAATAAAATTTTATAATAATATTTTAAGTTAATAAAAAAATTTTTAAAAAATTTTATTGACTATTTTTGATATAATATTAAAAAGAAATTCTGCTATTCAGAATATAATAATAATATTTTCTAATGTTATTAATAAATTAGATGGTTAAATTAATAATCAATAATTATATAATAAAATATTATTTTTTTAATTTTTAGATAAATACTTTTATAAAATCTTTTATATACTAAATTACGATCATAATCAGGCATTCTGCTTTTTGATTAGATATTCTTTTGCCACATGCAAAATCGTGTGTAAACATGTATGTATATATATGAGTACCATCAGGAGAAAACCTGTAATTAGGATTTTGATTATATCTTTTGTACCAAATACAATCCTAATAAATTACATAGATTTTGTCCAGTACAGAATATAATTAAAATTTCAATTACAGGTTTTTTCCTGATGGCACCCATTTGGTTTATGGCTTTGAAATTTAAAAGGTATTTAGTATATAAAAGATATTTAGTATACAAAAGATATATGTCACACTCGAATCTGTCATTCACCTCAAACTGTGATTTCAAATGATAACTGAAATAGGTCCTTAAAATTAGATACGATTTGCTTTCATATGTTTAAGTAATTTTAGGATACTGTATCGACATTGGGTGCTTAAAGTTGCAACTACAAGAATGAATTAATCATGACTTTGGACACGACATACATACTTAATTACACTTTGTTTTATTTTATTATGTATTTTATTATATATTTATTATTATTATTATTATGTATTTTATTATATATATATTATTATTATATGTATGAATTACTATCAAGGTACTCAATAATGCTTATATATGTGTGTACATGTAACTTTAGGCCATTTTTAGTTAAATCATATGATAGTAACAAGTTATTGCATTGTAAAAGAAAGTTTACTTATCCTTAAGGCTCTTCAAATAGTTGTGTGCTTGATTTTACACTTTTGTAATCATAGTTTATAATGAACCTTAATTGGGTTTGCTACCAATTTTTATCTCTAATCACTTTATTTAAAAATAAATAGGTGATTTTGAATCTTAGAATTTTTTTTCACACTATGATTATTACGGAATCATGGGGTCACACCTTCTGGAAAAGTTCTGAATAAATTTTTCCATGCTATGATTATTATGAAATCGTGTGGCTACACCTTCTAGCAAAGTTCTAAATAATCCAGTTTATAAGATATGATCATCTAATAATTTTCGATTTATTGGTTTCTGTCGTACACAAAAATATTAATATATGGTTGATATTAATTTGTCGAATGATTTAATCTTGATAAAAAAATCGGGAAAACGGATTATCTAACAATCAAATGATCTTAAAATAATCATGTTTAAACTGGAAAGTTTTGTTTCTATCTGGTAATAATTAAATAATTCAACTCTAATAAATTATTATCTTAATAATAATTCTGTAATTAGTAATGATAATTTATTTAAAAGTAGCAAAAGTAATATATTATTATATATTTGTACTGTATATATGTAATAGCTGCGATAAAATTTTGTAAAAGGATTCTTTATAATTATAAATATATATATTTTATTTATTATTATTTTGAACTTAAAAGTGATTTTTAAAAGAGTCTTGATTAATAATTATCACAGTAAGATTGTATCATTACGTTCAAAATTAGATCAATAATAGAAATTCTTAATCTACCATAACAAATGTATATACTTTTTCATTGGATTATAAGTTAATTTTTCTTTACACATTAAAATGCTTAAATGCCTTATACTGAAGAACAACTAGAACAATGATGACAATGAAATAGGTTTACTTATCATGAACACCAAGCTTGAAGTGATAAAGAACAGCAGGAACAACAATGTAAACATAATAGACAAGCTTAATACTTATTTCACCAAAAACAACATCTTCAAGGAAGAAATGTTATTGATGAATCAACTATTATTCCATTCGATCTTGGGTCTCTTATTATTTGTGTTCATTGTGAAGCAAAGAAATTTAAAGGAGAATCAAGTGGTTTTTGTTGCAATAATAAAAATGTAAAATTAGCTGATACAGAATCCCCTATTGCTCTACAAAATTTATTTGTTAGAATGAATAAAATTGGTTATGACCTCCGCAATAATATTCAAGCTTACAATAGACTTTTTGCTTTTACTTCCATGGGTGTTCATCTAGACCAATGTCTTGCTAATGGTATGAACTCTAATTTCATATATAGTAAATACCTTCATATATGTACTAAAATCGTATATTTATAAATATTTTACTGTATTACATTATTATAATATTATATCTTCATTTACAAAATATTACCAAATTATTTTTGTAGGAAAAAATGGTGTTTATACTTTCCGTACACAAGGATCTATATATTATGCAATCGGTTCTCTTCTTCCACCTGTTGAAGACTCTCCCAAATATTTACAATTATATATATATGATACAGAACATGAAGTTAATAATCATTTACAAATAATGCCTAATCTTCGCAGAGACACTATTGAATTGATAAAAAATGTTCTTAATGAAGTTAATCCTTTTGTTGTGAATTTTCGTTATCTCTCTATGCTTATGAATATATCTAATTATAAATTAGTTATTAGAGCTGACCATGGACTAGATCAATGAATGTATAATGCGCCCACTGCACCACAGGTGGCTGCTATTTGGGCTGAAGATAGTGACCCATATGAATTTCAAAAACGAAGTATAATAGTTCATCCTTATTCTGGAAATCTTCAAATTATATCTGAAATTAATGGTTTATATGATTCTATGCAATATCCAATTTTATTCCCTAGAGGACAGTATGGATGGCATTCTGGTATCCTTACTGCTTTTACGAATACAGATAATAAACTGCAATTTAATAGAACTCACGGTCTTTGTTCAAAAAGAGTAACGACAAGACAATATTATGCTTACCGATTGCAAATGTGAGAAAGATCCTCTTCTCTAATTCTCCTAGGTGGTCAACTTTTTCATCAATACATAGTGGATAATTATGTAAAGATTGAAGCAAAAAGGCTAAACTACTTACATTTTTTTTTTTTTTTTTTTTTTTTTTTTTTTTATTAAATAATGCTCAAGTAGAAACTTTATTACATATAGAAATATGAGTTCTAAATTTAAAGATTTCTAAACTACATTTGTGCTACAATTAGGCACCCAATGTAACATTACACCCCCTATTTCCTATGTTATGCTATAGCTAACTGTTTCAAATTAGATTCTAGCTAGGATAGGTTGGAGG